GGCGGGTGGACAGGGGAGGTGACGGTCGAGGGTTGGTGGAGTTGGGGGCGGAAGGCAGGGGAGTGATGAGAGCGGGGAGGCGGTTGGGCGGGCGTGGATTAAAAGAGATTTGTCAGGGGCGGAGTAGGGGGGGGGCCTAGGAGGGAAGGGATGGGGGGGGTGGGGGGGGGGGGGGGGTGGGGTTTCAGAGGGGTTGGTGTCGGGAGGGGGGGACTGGGGGGCAAGGGAGGGGAGTGAGAGGGATGGTGGGAGCGGCGGGGAGGGCAGGGGGGGCTGGCGGGGGGGTGGGGGGGGTGGGGGGGGGGGGGGGGGGGGGGGGGGGGGGGGGGGGTGGGGGGGGGGGTGGGGGGGGGGGGGGGGGGGTGGGGGGGGGGGGGGGGGGGGAGAGCGGTGGGGGGCGGGCGGGGCGGGGGGCGGGGGGGTGGGGGGGGGGCGGGGGGGGGGGGCGGGGGGGGGGGTGGGGGGGGGGGCGGGGGGTGGGGGGGGGCGGGGGGGGGGGGTTGGGGGGGGGGGGCCGGGGGGGAGGGGGCGGGGGGGGGGCCGGTGGGGGGGGGGGGGGCCGTGGGGGGGGTTTTGGGGGGGGGGGGGGCCGGGGGGGGGGGGCGGGGGGGAACGGGGGGGGGGGGCCGGGGGGGGGGGGGGCCGGGGGGGGGGGGTGGCCACGGGGTCTAGGGGGCGGCGGCCGGGCGGGGGGGTCCGGCGGGGGGGGGCACGGTGGGGGGGGGCCACAGGGGGGGGGCCACGGGGGGGGGGGGACGGGGGGGGCTTGTTCGGCTCATGGGGGGGGGGCGGGGGGGGGGCACGGGGTGGGGGCCACGGGGGGGGGGCCACGCGGGGGGCGGCCACGGGGGGGGGCCACGGGGGGGGCCAACCCGGGGGGGGGCGGGACGGGGGGGGTGGGTGGGGGACCCCCCCCTTGGCCCCCCCCCTGGCCCCCCCCGCTGGCCCCCCCCTGGCCCCCCACCTGGGGGGCCCCCCCCCTGGCCCCCCCTGCCCCCCCCCTGGCCCCGCCCCCCCGTGGCACCCCCCCCGTGGGCCCCCCCCCCCAGGTGCTGGCCCCCCCCCGTGCCCCCCACCCCCTTGGCCCCCCCCCGTGGCCCCCCGTGCCCCCCCCCCCATGGGGGGGGGCCAGGGGGGGGGGGTCAGGGGGGGGAGGGGTGAGGGGGGGGGGGGCCACGGGGGGGGGGGCCCAGGGGGGGGGCAGGGGGGGCCCAGGGGGGGGGGGGGGGGGGGGGGGGGGGGGGGGGGCCACAGGGGGGGGGGGGCCAGGGGGGGGGGAGGCAGGGGGGGGGGCCCAGGGGGGGGGGGGGGGGGGGCCCCCCCGGCCCCGGGGGGGGCGCCCCAGACGGGGGCGGGGGGGGGGGCCCCAGCGGGCGGGGGGGCCCCACAAAGGGGGGCCCAGGGGGGGGGGGGCCCCAGGATGGGGGAGGCCCAGGGGAGGGGGCACCAGGAGGGTGGGGCACCAGGGGGGGCCCCAAAAGGGGCCCCAAAGGGGTGTTGCCCAGCGGGGGGGGGGCCACCCCAGTGGGGGGGCCCCAAGGGGGGGGTTTCAGGGGGGGTGGCCAGGGCGGGCAGGGGGGGGGGGGGGCCAGGGGGGGGGGCCGGGCCAGGGGGGGGGGGCCGGACGAGGGGGGGGCCGTTGGGCAAGGGGGGCCCAGGGGGGCTGACGGGGGGGGGGCCGGGGGGGGGGGGGTTGCGGCCCGCAGGGGCGGGGGGGGGCCGCAGGGGCGGGGGGGCCCAGGGGCGGGGGGGGGGGCACCCCAGGGGCGGGGGGGCCCCAGGGGCGGGGGGGCGGGCCCAGATCCAGGGTGGGGGGGCCCCAGGACGGGGGGGGCCCCAGGGGCGGGGGGGCCCCAGAAACAGGGGCGGGGGGGGCTCCAGGGGCGGGGGGGCCCAAGGGGCGGGGGGGGACCCAGGGGCGGGGGGGGGGGGGGGGCCCCAGGGGGGGGGGGGCCCCAGGGGGGGGGGCCGCAGGGGGGGGGGGCCCCCAGGGGGGGGGGGGGCCCCAGGGAGGGGGGGGCCAGGGAAGGGGGGGCGGGGTACAGGGGGGGGGGGGGGGGGGGGCAGGGCCGGGGGTGGGCCCAGGGGGGGGGGGGGGGCGCGCAGAAAAGGGGGGGCCTAGGCGCCCCGCCTGGGCCCCCCCCCCTTGGGGCCCCCCCCTTTGAGGGCCCCACCCCCCCCTGGGGCCCCCCCCCCCCCCCCCCCCCCCCTCGCCCCCCCCCTTGACCCCCCGCCCTTTTTCTTGGCCCCCCATTTCCCCCCCCTGGCCCCCCCCCCTGAACCCATGGCCTTTTTACCCCCGGGCCCCCCCCCTGGCCCCCCCTTCCTGCCCGTGCGGGGGGGGGGTGGCCCCAGGGGGGGGGGCCCCAGGGGGGGGGGGGGGGGGGGGCTCAAGTGGGGGGGGGGGGGGGGCCACGGGGGGGGGCAAGGGGAGGGGGGCCCAGGGGGGGGGCCCAAGGGGGGGGCCCCAGGAGGGGGGCCCCAGGGGGGGGGGGCCCCAGGGGGGGGGGGCCCGGGGGGGGGCCCCCAGGGTGGGGGTGTGGGTCCGGGGGGGGGGGCCCTCCTCCAGGGGGGGGGGCCCCAAGAAAAGGGGCGGCCAGGGGGGGGGCCAGGGGGAGGGGCCCAGGGGGGGGGGGGGGGGGGGGGGGGGCCAAGGGGGGGGGGCCAGGGGGGGGGCCAGGGGGGGGGGGTGGGGGGGTGGCCCCCCCCCCCGTGCCCCCCCCCCCCCCGTTTCCCCGTGGCGTGGGCCAGGGGGGGGGCCCCCCGAGGGGGGGGGCCCCAGGGGGGGGGGCCCCAGGGGGGGGGGGGGCCCAGGGGGGGGGCATAAGGGGGGGGGGGGCCCAGAGAGGGGGGGCCCGGGGGGGGGGGGGGGGGGGCCCCAGGGGGGGGGGCCCCAGGGGGGGGGGACCAGGGGGGGGGGGCCCCAGGGGGGGGGGAACTCGCGGAATGAGGGGGGGGGTAAGGGCGGGAACGGGGTTGGGAGGGGTGGGAGGGGCGTGGGGGGGTGGTCGGGCATGCACTGGACCCTTTAAACCACCTGAATGGATGGGGTGGGGGGGGGTCGAAAGGTCCAATTCAAGGCGTCATGGGTGCGGGCGATGGGTGGCGGGGTTTGGGCATGCACTGAAGCCAAACAATGCAAAACACTCCAATTCAAGGTGTCATGAGCAGCATGCTGTGAGAGCGGGTGAGGGCGGTGAGGGCGGTGGGGGGTCTTCACTGACGCCGCCCTGCTACCGCTGGGGTCGGCGGATACTTAATGTGACGACGATCCTGTTGTCGCTGTGTGCTCGCGACTCGGATCTTGAACCCTGCTCTGGCATATGTAATTATGTTCTCGGAGCGAGCAGAGCCCTAGGTCTGTCCTTGCGTATGTCTCCGAGCAGCTTTACACGCCCGAAACCATCGAGCGCATCAACAGGAGTGCGTAGGGGCTTGTAAGAGGACTCCAGGAGTTGAGGGCTTCGTGCTGAAATCGACCCAAGCCCTGGCAGCCTGAATCCTTCGACCCCATGATGCTTGGTGCAAAAAGTAGGCGCCGCAACCTTGCGAGCGATCGGCAGGGCTTTGCTTTGGATTCAGTGCCATCTGATACCTGCATGTGTCAAAGGCCAACGAGGCAGCTTAAAGCCTCTGAGGCTCAGACCTGGGGGGGGGGGGGGGGGGGGGGGGGGGTTTCGGCGGTTTGGGGCGCAGGAGCCTACAGGACATGAACATCCACTGCTGCGTTGAGATCGGCCGCAGCTGGCAGCAGGATCCTGAAGAAGGGCGCCTTGGCTCCCGACGCAGATCCTTGAATGCCATTGCAGTTCTTCTAGCCGCGGGCGATCTTTCGAAGATAGTTCCGCTTCTCATCCTGCACCCTCAAAGGTCCCAGTAGGCCGAAGCCAGGCAATCCGAAAGATGGCTCTACTCGGCACAAACACACCTTCTGCGCACTGCCACATTCTGTGGCCATTTGAGCACCTGAGCCCTGGCACACCAGGATCAAGTTTCATAGCACCGGAATGCCGAGACTTTCAATGTGGAACCCGACTATAAGTCGCCGCGGCTAGCCGCACTCCTAGATGAAAATAGCTGAAAACTTGCAAAAAGAAGGGGAAGCTGGCAATCATAGATGGCAGATATCCGTTGGCGCTGCCCTATAACACCATCAAGCGCCATGGTATTGGTATGCCGTGCTGTCGTGCGCCATAGCGTAGTACTAGCTAGGTCAAAGTATGGACCTGGAGGAAAGTTTCTGGTTCATGTATAGCATGACGGTGGCCGACATGAACACGATACATCACGTCGTTTCAGGTTTGTTGGTCAGAATGAATGCGTACAAGACAAGCCTACATAAGTATGCTGGACGTGTGTCTGAAAAAGCTCACTGGCCCCAGCTGAAGTTCTCAGCTTCCCAGATTCTGCGCGACAGCTGCCTTGAGCGCAATGTCCGTGGTCGCTTGTCTTGCCCTTGTATCAACTGTGGCTATGGCGGCCATCGCAGAAGTGCCGGAGACATGTTTCGACACGTCCTGTGAGAAAGAGGAGGTGAAGTTGCTTCAAGCCAATACGCACATGCATCCATCCGGCCCCAGCAGCTTGTCGGAAAGAGATGTGGCACGTGCCAAGCAGCGGGTGCCTGGACCGGCGTTCATCGCTGCACACGGGGAGTCGAACACCCTGCTGAACAAACATCTTCTTCGCATCACCAAAGGCAATGCCAGGCCGTGCAATGACTTCACCATGCAGCAAGGAGGCCGTGAACCTTCGTGCTGACAAGCTATCCCCAGAGCTTCTCGAGATGGCCACGAAAGAAAAGAAGTGCTACGATGCTGCCATGCACTTCACGCACAGCATCAGTGATGAAGATAAGAAGAGCCTCCTCTCTGGCAACAGCATCCCGTTGCTCCCCGAACGCGCTGCTCATGAAACCAACTCGCTCTTAGAGAAGGCCTCCGGAGATGTGTGGGCTGGGGAGCAAGTGTTCAATGCCAACTGTGCCGCATGCCATGCAGGTGGACAGAATGTGATCATGCCCGACCTTACCTTGGAAAAGGAGGACCTGAATCAGTATCTGAAGGGGGGCAACAGCATCAACAATATCAAGACCCAGGTCACCAACGGCAAAAATGCCATGCCGGCTTTTGGAGGGCGGTTGAGCGATGATGACATCGACAATGTTGCCGAGTACGTGTCTCATAGGGCTGGAACAGGCTGGTGGTGAGAGGTTGCCGCCGAGGATGGCGGCGTCGATTGCCGCATGCCGCGTGCTTTCGACCAGCGCTGACTGCACGTACCCGAACAGGCATGCTTCTGGGGGCCCACTCTCTTTCGAGGGTTGGCTCCTGTCGCTTCGGCCTCAGTCAATGTACTGCCGTGCCATGTGCCTTGTGCGGCTACGGGCAGCGGGGCTTTTTTTTGTCCCACAAGTGGCGCCTTTACAACCAACACATGGATCCAATATAGGCTTGACGTATACGCATTAGTCTCAGGAAAACGATCTGGATCTCCTGCTGCTGGGGATTTCTACAAAAAGTAGGGTTCTTTCAATCCTACTTACACTCAATTGATCCTTTCCTTTCCTGTCACATGCCCGAGGCGAGTCCTGCGAGACTGCTGGGCTTGGTCTGAGGTGAAGCTGGCCAAAGCAGCTGCAGCTTCTGTGGGGGCTTCCGATGTGCCCAATTAGGGGGACGCTAGGTCGCTTCACCCCCGTTGAGCCATAAAAAAAGCATGAACAGCTAACGCTGCTTTCGGGCTTCAAGCTTCAGGGGCCTGGTAGGGCGAGGTTGTTGGGTCACATTTGCGGTTTCACTGCCGTCCCGGCGCCATGCGGCCTTAACACAAGGCTTGCGCGACGCAAAGCAAGACAGAGCTCGAAGCCTGGAGAACAGTGCTCAGGGGAGAAGGGCTGATACTTTGACGAGTAAGATTTTCACTAACGTCGCTGCCGACCGAGGCTTGGCCTCTCCTGTTGAGCCTTGTTATTAAGTTTTGAAGCGAGCCCCACCCCACTCCCCCCCCCCCCCCCCTAAAGACAAAAAACAAGCCTGCGATGCAGGACGGCGCTGTGGTCGTGGGTGGCAAGAGCATCACGTCGCAGGCGCGCAATCCCCAAAGCCCAAGGTCTTAAGAAGGTTGAAATTTAGTTGAAATGACAAGACAAGATCAAAGGGGTCCGGATGGAGCATGCTGTGCAAAGGTTGTTGTAGTGAACCTTGTGGTGGCTTGTTTGATCGTTTGGGTGCAGGTAGCTACCGGACGGACTCACAGCACAGCGTACCCGGTACTCAAGGTCGAATCGCCGAACTCTGTTTGCCATAAACCAGGGGCGCACACAGCACAGGCGGCTTGCCCGCCATGCCCCGCGAAATAAAGAGAGGGTCAGAGACAGGCAGAGAAGACATGAGAAGAGAAGACGCACAGAGAAAAACAGAATCGTAACCCGACACCCCCCCCTCCCTCCCCCCAAAACAAAAAATCAAGACAATGCAGATGCTAGACTCCGTGGTCTCCCTGTGGTCTCCTGGCCTTTCCGAAACTCCATGAAAACTTCGTCCGGAAAGCTTGAAAATTAGGTGAGGGTTGGAACCCCTCACACCGGCCCTCAGCCCCTAACTTCATCCCCCCGAGGCCTTGAACTGTGTAGCGAACTGTCAAGCAGGCTCAGTATTGGGCTCTAAAGGCAAAGTGTTTCTTGTTAAGGTGAAGCGATTTGAGACGCGCAGAACAAAGAGAGACACCTGTGCCAAGTTCCCGCTGGTCCTAAACCTTGAACCCTAAACCCGAAACCCGAAACCCCAAACCCGAAACCCTAAACCCTAAACCCCAAACCCCAAACCCCCTAAACCCCAAACTTCCTAAACCCTTAACCGTCAACTCCTGGGCCTGCGAGGCGAGTTCCAGCGTGGAATTCTACTCCATCGAAGGCGGCTGGCAAGAGTGCCTTGGCACCGAAATGGGATCACAGTGGGTGCAAGGTTTCGGCTGGAATTGAGACCCTAAACCCTAAGCCCCTAAGCACTAAACCTTGCAGCTGGACACCTTCTAACAGCACAGCAAGAGGATGGCTTGTGGTTCCTGCCCCGCGCCTACATGACCTCCGGTCCTGTTCAGGCCCTGCTTCCGAGAAATGATACCTGAATGATGGGCGTTCCCCTGCCCCCATCAAACAAGTAACCCCCATTCATCAAGCATCCTGTCCGCGTACGCTGACATGCAACTTGCCCAGTCGGTTCGTAGACTCACTCACCTTCCACAGGCTGAATCGGAATTTTGGGGGTTGAGTCCGGGTTGAGGGTATAGAAAGCCATAAAGGAATGCTAGTGATTCCCTGAACCCTGAAGCCTACCACGCTCACTCTCTCACTTCTTTTGGCTTTTCTGGTGACCAAGCCAAGGCTCCCACCACTGCCCACCGCGCGCATTCGCACAGCCGTCATCTCAGGCGCGCCGGCTTTCGCTTGGGTGATGATTTGGTCTTCTTCTTGGGGGCGGGAGGTAGTGTCGCTCGGGGTTGTGCTGGAGAGACGGAATAGCTAGTATAAAGGGTTGGAGATACTCAGGCAGTTTTGTGCCGGGTATCAACACCCTTGTACATGCGCTCGAAGGCCTTTTTTGATGAGAAGATGACCCTCGCCTCTCCTCCCCTTCCATCGCAGAAACCCGGCAGTCAAACAAACACAAGTTGATCCGGGAGATGTAGACCCTAAACCCTAAACCCTAAACCCTAAACCCTAAACCCTAAACCCTAAACTAGAGCGTCTCAGAGCGGAATATTGATTGAAACCTCTCTAGGGCCTGCAGGGCCCATCCTACAGAACCCCGCCTTTGCCAGGACGCCTCTGAAATTCTGCGAGATGACGCTGCATAGCACTGTCTGAATCATACAGGATCGGGTCCTTTTCGCTGCCTTCACGCAACGCCAGAAGCCCTGCCTGTTTTCAAAGCCTGTTCTGGCGTAGATGCTTTCCATGTCTTGTCCCGAGCTTGCGGTTCCACTGCAGCTTTTTGCGCAGAAATATGAGTCCTCGGCATTCCCCAAAAAAGCGCTGCTTTTTGTTCCTCTCTGCGCCCAGTGAGAGCACCTGCAGCTGAAAAGGCCCATATGGAATATTTCGAAAATGAGACGGGGGAGCGCTCCCTGAAAGAAGCGAGACGCTTTCCCCCCCCGCTTTTTGGTGGGGAATCGGAACCTTGGCCCCTGAGCTCCCCAAGCCCTCTTTTTCCAGGGTTTAGGGTTTAGGTTTAGGTTTAGTTTAGGGTGTAGGGTGTAGGGTTTAGGGTTTAGGGTTTGGGGTTTAGGGTTTAGGGCTTAGATATACGGGTGTCCGACAGGCTCTGTAGGTCACTGTGGGATTCAGTTTGGAGTGCTTGGAAGGCCTTGAAGGGCTCCTGCAAGGTACTGAAAGATGTAAGTTGACGATCGGAGTCAGTATATGGTTCATGTCCACTTGAGAATCTCCACCTACTGCATGAGCGCTGCAAGTTTTGCAAGAGCAAAAATTCCTGCGACTTAGAGCCCTAGACCGTGCAAGAAGATAGCACGGAGGCTCGGTCGGGCCAGAAGATCCCCTAAACCCTAAACCCTAAACCCTAAACCCTGAACCCTAAACCCTAAACCCTACCCTCCCTAATGAAGCCCCACAAAGAAGTGTTCTCTGCCAACAACCAGCCCGTGGCCTCAAGACCTGCATCCAGCAGGGGTTCTTCGATTGCAGGCGGTGTCTCAAAATTGCGTGCAAGAAAGCACTGGATTTAGGGTTTCGGGCCTTAGGGTTTAGGGTTTAGGGCCTTAGGAATCAGGGTTTCGAGTTTACAGGAGCTCTTGACTGACATGCGGCCTGCAGAAGGAGAGTTCCGAAGTTCGAGAACCTCAGGGGATTCGGGTTGTGGGGACACCGTCTGTGTAGGCTCTCTCTAATTTGAGGCCAATTCTTTGTGTGTGTGGCCCGAGAAGAGGGTGCCCTCATGGCGTTACACTGCTGGTGGGAGTGCACAGCCTCCACAACCTCTAAGCTCAATCCTAGCTAGCACACCCGCTACCAACAGCCCCCTGAAAAATGGCGGGGAGCAGAAGGTCATGTCATTATAAGGATATCTCGGAGTAGGGGTGAAGGTTTGCGTTCAATTGCCTCCATGGGCGCAGATTTGGAGGTCCCATTGTGAGTGAGGTCGAGGTTTCATTGTGCATCAGAAGCCCGTTGAAGATGGTGAATACGCCGAATACGCCTGCCCTCGCCAGCCCCCCTGTCGGCTCCCTCGACGGGCGCTTCCCACGAGATGCCTCCGGCGGAGCCGGAGGTCTTCACAAAGTCGGCGCTTTCCCAGCCTCCCTCTGGGCCCTTTTTTTGGTGTTAGGTAGCAGCTTGTGAAAAGTCGGCCTAGGGACGGCTCAGGGCGTGCTTGCGCCGGAACCCCTATAGGAGTCCAAGGAAACGGTTGCAGGAAAGTCTGCAAAGATTGACGGTGAGCATTTCGGGTTCGGATGATGAATCCATTCGCACACAACTCTTGGCGTGTTTTCCTTGGACGGAATCTCGAAGACTCGACGTCCAACGGCTATACGAAGCTCCTCACAAACGTGAGCAGCATCTTCGAACCCAAAGCAGAAGCCGCGATGACGAAAAGGGTTTTCTGGAGACCGCAGCTGTGGGATTGCTTCGGTAAAGGAAGAGACAATGTCACATGTCATGGGCATCAGAGAACTAGGATCCCTGGGAGTAGAGGCTCTTGAGGAAGAACTCAACGCTGTAGCCTTGAGAGCTGCTATCACGCGAGACCGGCACTATAGGGGAGGAGAGTATGTAATCTGTGGTGTGTGTGTGTGCGCGGCCAACTTACCAAAAGGTTGGAGCGAGCGAGTGGTGTGTTGGCCCATTGGCGTGTCGTGTGGGTGTGCGCCTTGTGTGGGATTTGCCAGTTGTGCCGCGAATCCAGGGCTCAATTTGTGCAAGAATTAAATGCTCACACGGCCCCTGCCCCAGGACTTACTGAATGCGAGCCTTATTCGTGATTAAGCTTTCTAGTGCCCACAACCTGCGCAGAATTCCGTTCTCCATTTCCCACAGCACTTCACTGCCTCAAGAGTTCTTAAGGCCTCAAGAGGCTAAAGCTCAGCATACCCCTGAGAAACTGTCAACGTACCAACAAATTCACGATGACTTTTTTTACGGTCAACCGAGCAGTAGCTACCAAAACCAGCGCAGCAAGCTGCATATCTGCG